ACTCTGCACTGGCTTCAGTAGCCCATGAGTGTCCCTGGAGGCTAGCATATCTCATTGAATACAGGGAGCGTCCCCTCACTGTCTTATAAAGAAATGTGAGACTTGGCCAGGCACAGTGGCTCATGCCTGTGATCCCAGCGCTTTGGGAGGCTGAAGCAGGTGGATCACTTCAGGTCAGCAGTTCGAGACCAGCCTGGCCAACATGGTGAAACCCTGTGTCTACTAAAAGTACAAAAGAAAAAGTTAACTGGGCATGGTGAGACACCGCTTTAATCCCAGCTACTCAGGAGGCTGAGGCAGGAAAATCACTTGAACCCGGGAGGTGGAGGTTGCAGTGAGACGAGATCATGCCATTGCACTCCAGCCTGGGTGACAGAGTGAGACTCTGTCAAAAAAAAAAAAAAAAAGAAAAAAGAAAACAAAACAAAACAAAAACGTGAGACTTGAAGGGCACAGGGTCCAGGGAGGGGAATTGAAGAAGGCCCTGCTGGGGGTTACTCAGGCCCTGCCTCTGCACTACCTCAGATCCTGATCTCAGCGGATGACGAGATGGAGGAGTCCGACGTGGAGGAGGACCTCCGCAGACTGACCCCTCTCAAGCCTGTGAAGAAAAAGAAGCACCGCTTCGGGCTGCCCGTATGACACTATCCCATGCTGGGGGTGACGGGAGGGCCCTGCCAGCCGCCGGTGTGCAGAGGTCATCCTGCAGCGTCGTCCTTCCCCCCCTCTGCCCTTCCTTTCTACCTCTGCTCCTCTTGCTGTCTCTGCCCGCTCTCGCCTGCCCCAGACTACTACTGTGACTTCAAAAGAGGGAAGAGGAGCCAGTGCCCAAGGGGGCCACAGGTAGCTGGAGGTCCCCATTCAGTTGCACTACAGACACTGACCAAATATGCAAGGAAGGAGTTGTGTGTGTTTGTTGTCCCAGACAGTGTTGGGAGCTACCCGAGGCCCTGCCCCGTGTCCAACCGGGTGGCAAGGTGGAAGGAAGCACAGGCACACAGGCCATGGGTGGGTCCCCTCACCGGGGCTGGGGCAGTGCAACTCGGAACACCTTCAGGCTAAAAGTGACTCATTGTCCAAGTTGGAACCGGAATGCTTTCTTACTCGGAATGGCTTTTGTAACTATTGATTTCTGAAGCTGGTTTTATGAGCTGTGACAGTGTTACTGGGTTGGGGGTATGTTTATTTCCTACAAAGTACTTATGGGACTAATGGGCAAAACAGAGATTTTTAAGTCTTCCGTATGCTGTTTGACTTTTATATTTTTAAGTTATATTTTCATACTATTGTATTTAAAAACTTTTTAATTCCCAAAGAAATGGGTTTGTTTGCCTTTCACGGGGTGTGGGCTGGCAGGAGGAAAAGGTTGGGAGTTTTTAGTTTGAAATATAGTTGGTGATGCCCTGCCATAAGATGAGACAGATGATTGGGGAGGGAAGGAGGATGGCCCTTCTCTGGAATGAGCAAACCCAGTGGTTCTGTGAAGGTCAGACTCAAGCTTGGCACTGCTGGTCTCAATGCAGATCCAGGAGCTGCAGAGTGTGTGAAACAGGAAGGGCCCAGGGCCCACGAGCTCTAGTGTTCTGCTGGCAGATTAGAAGGTCTTGGTTAAACTTGACCAAGAAAGGAGCTTAGCTAAGAGATCTTTGTGTCCAGAGGACTCAAGACTAGCAGACTCTTATGCAGAAGAGGAGTCTCTGCAGAGCCTCCCATCATGGTTTAAAATGGTCTCAGCCTTTCAGCCCCTGCTGCTGTAGCCTTCAGAGCTAGCCTATGGACGCAGCGCCAGGAACCTCCTCTTATGCTGCCCTGGTACCTGTCATTCCAAGTGTCATCTGTTTTGCATAGCGTTCTGGAGAACATCTGCCTTACAGAGTGATCCTGTTTTCCACGCCCTCCAAAGCTGAGGTGGCTAAGGCAGGTAGGGGTGAGAGAGCTCGCTCTGTAAACCACAGGCAGGGCAAGGTGCTTCTAGGCCATGTCCCCTCCCTGTAGCGTGGCCCCTGCTCCTCAGCATGGCCACAGGCCCCTGTGGCTTTGGGAGTTTGCTGGGTAATTGTGAAATGGGCTCATCCCAGCAATTTCCCTGCTCTGGAAGCAGCAAGGTAGGGGTGCTCTTCATGGTTTGTCAAGCTCAGAGGCAGCCATGGATGGTTAGGAACAGAAAGCCACAGTGCTAAGGTATGAGCTAGAAGGGAGACAGCCTGGAATTTAAGTGAGACAAGTGCAGAGGAGGCCACTTCACTTAGAACCTTCCTTTTAGACCTGCATGAATATGTGTTTCACTTAAGCACATTGGGTCCAAATTGTGGAGAGAGCCCAGCTGTTAAACCAGGCACCCGGGGACTACTGTCTGCCTCTCAGAGTCCTGCCTGTCCTGGACTTGGAGGCGAGCATTAGGGAGGCCTTCTCAGCCCATCTTCCACCAGGAGTACAGAGCCAGGGTGCTGAGAGGAGCAGGGACTGTAACTGCAGTAGGAGGCAACTTTGCCAGTGTGGGCCTCGTGGCCAGCAGGCCAGGCAGTGCCTGAGATTGGAGCCTGTCTGGGATCTTGCGTCGTTCCTGTTCAAAATGACTCTGTGCTCCCTCCCATCTCACAGCTATGGTAGTCGGTATTTCCCCACCAGCTCTCCAGTAGAAAAGAGTGGTTGGAACCAGGCCATTCTGAGTTGAATTTGGGAAGATGAGGACTCATGTTCCTGACAGGACAGTCATTCCCTCAAGGCATCACTGACTCAGTTCTAATCCCTCCCCTCCTGTTTCATTTTGGTTTGAACAACCTGTGCCTGCAACTGTTTCTTCCGCCTTCCTGGAGCTCAGAATCAGAGCTTCATTTTCAGTCTTGAGCTCCTAATGTTTCCAAACAGGGCAGGGGATAGGAGAGCCATAATCTGTGAAAGCTATAAAACAAACTCTGGGTTATGTAGACCTCAGATCATCTCATCTGAAGGCTCAGCCCAATTCCCGGTGAGCAGTGGGTTTGGGGAATAAAGAGGTAGCTGGTGAGTGATGGTTTTCCCCTGTATCCTGATTTTCAGAAAGGGCTTTAGTCTCTGAGCTGCATCCAGTGTAGATGGCTGACCAGGGTACAGGGGTCGAATAGGGTGTCTGAACAAAGGGTGCCTCTTGGTGTGTGGGCCTGGACAGTATGGCCTCTCATGTTTGGTCTTCCCCTTCTCGTGTGTGTGTGTGTGTGTGTGTGTGTGTGTACATGCACGCACATGTACATACATACAAGTCTGTATCCCCAGGAGTGCCTCCTGCCATCACTGGGGGCTCTTCCGTGGTGCACCATCCCATGAGAGCAGATCAGAGGGCCGTGGTCAGGACTTCCTCCCGAGCTGCCCTCCCTCCCTGGGATGAGTTTCCTCACCACCTGCTCCAAGGTGCCTTACGAGGTGCAGCTCTTCGCCTGGCCACATGGCGTCCATCATCGTACTTGAGAAATTATGAGACGTTGGCTGGATGTTGTGTGCTATCAATCCAGTGTGTCCAAATCTGGACCTCAGCCGAGCCAGCTATGATGGAACCATGCAAGACAAGGTCATGAACAAACTTCTTATAACTATTGGAAATAAACTAATGAGGTAGAACTGCCATATCTGAAGAGAAGAGGTGGTTGGTACTGTGATTTCCTCTTGCTGTCAGAGGGATGTTGACAATGGCAAGGGGGGATATTGGTGAGCCCAGGTGATGGTGGCTTCTTGGTCCACTTGGCTTGAACACATGCAAGAGGAGGGTGGCCTCTCAAGCTTTAACTTGTGCCCTCCCTGGCAACAGGGAGTCATGGGTTAATGTCACCTGTCATGCCTCTTTCTTCAGGGAAAATATTAAAAGGCTCAAATCCAAGCTGTGGCTTCCTCTAAGCAGTGTAAGCCTGGAGGTTGTAGCCCCAAGTTGATGTTCAAAGGCTGCCTCCGAGCCCTGGAGGGAGCAGTACCCAGCAGGCAGCCCACGCTGCCCTCCAGACTGCAGTTCACTGGCCTTTTCACATCAAGGCTAAGATAGGCAGTGCTCGGAGCTTCCCTCCGGCCAGAACAGCTGCCTTCTAGAGTGTGAGGCTGGCTTTTAGGAAGTTTCACACGCTTGTAGCTAAGAGTGTAGAGCTGTCTGTTTCACTTTGTGAAATTGGCAGCTCTGAGGAGCTTGGCTTTTGGTAGCAGACTTATGGTCTGATTTGCCACGAGCACCTTGAGCTCCCAGATGGATGAGTTGGTTGGTTGGTTGGGTTGTTTTAAATTTGATTTTTCTTTTCCTGAAGTTTGTTAGAAGTCAGATTTATGCGAGCAAAACCATGGCCCACTTTAGCTGCCATCCAGTGGGGGTATTTAATCAGTGGTGTTAGGATTCATAGAAACATGTTTTTGAAATGAAAGGGAAGATGATGTACTTACATTGTAAAATGGTTTACAATAAAGTTTGGCATCTTATTACAGTTTTTTTAAAAAGAAACAGTCACATTTGTGGTTGTTGGTTGTGTGTTCTCTGGAGTTGAAACAGCACTGCGGGGTCACAAATGATTCCCCTGTAAATTAGAAGGTTCTCCCCAGGGACCAGAGTGAGAAGGAATCTTACAAAGCTCCATGGCAGAAGTGGAAGTCAGCATCTGCCCAGGAAAAAAACAAACATACTCTTGCCATTTCCACTTCCTTGCTAGTGAGAATTAAAGCAAGTTCCCTGAGAAGCAGTGAGCAGCCCACATCCTCGTCCCTGAGGCTGCAGGGCTGGAAGACAGGTGCCTGGGCAGCCGCAGCATCAGGTGCCATCTGCAAGGGCACCCCCGGAGCCAGTGGAAAGCCCCCATGAGGCCTGGCCTGCCCCTGGCTGCCTCTTGGCTCATGTTCCATATCCTGGGCATTCCTCATGTCAGCACTTGTCTCAGATCAAGCCTGGCAGTCCTCACGTTGGCCTCCTGGAGCCAGGATGGCAGGATGGGGAATGGGGTGGGGTTCAAAGTATGACAGCAGTGGAGTGGCATTTGGGATAACCAAATGTCAGTTCCTGGTTGGGTTCCATCTGCCTGGAGCTTTTAAGGATAAAAATAGTCTCCATCATAGACTGAAAAGGATTTGGATATGTCTGATCTCACTGGGAGGGCCCTGACCTCCTACGTACATCTGTTCCCCACACCCACCCCAGGCTTAGGGTCATCCTGTGCCCTGGGGGATCTTCCCCTTGCAAGGAGATGCATGTTAAGAGCTTCTAGCAGAGGACAGCTAAGTGACCTTCAGGGGGAGCCTTTGGGCCTGTTCTTGTCTCTGCAGCTCGATTTCTGGAGTGGGCTGCACTCTCCCCTACCCTCTTTGAGCAACTGAAACTGTCCTGCAGGCCAGCCCCAGTGCAGTGGCCTCATCTAGCCAGAGGCCTGAGCCTGAGCCTGTTTCCTATCTCTGTCTCATCAGTACTCTGACCATCGAGCGTGGTTTCCTCCCTTGTCCTTTCCAGACCCCTTACTCCCCACTTAACTAAACTTGCATTTGGAATAGGACAGAGGACAAAGACATCAGCAAAAGCATGAGCAACTCCCCAGGCTCCCCTTGGCCTCAGTTTCTCCACCTGTGAACCTGTGGTAGCCCCTCTCTGAGTTTGCTGTGAGGGCCGAGTGAGCTCACCGTGAGCAGATGCAGCCGACACGGGAAGCTCCTGCTCTGCCACCATGCAGGCATGGAAAATCTCTTTCCACTGGAATCCAGGGGAAGAGATGGAAGAGAAAGAAAAACAAGCTTGGAGCAGTCCAACCTGGCTAGGGCCTTCTGTTTCCTCAGGGACACCCCACACCCACCACACACTGGGATGAGCGCTTGCAGAGGAACAATTCAGATGTCACACATTCCAGGACCCACATCCGTAAACACAGCCAAGTCCACCAGTGCCAGCACCTCCCCCCAGCAAATCAAGCAGCTGTCCCAGAGGGCACAGGGCTCTGTAGCCATTTGCTTTCCCCAGGGCTGCAGCCCTCAGACAGCAGTACTCAGAGTCCCTCTCATCTCCGAGAATAAACTCTGAAGCTAGCAACCCTGCGGACCTGAATCATCAGGGAGCCTGTCAGAGGAGGGGCAGTGACTCTCCCGGACAAGGAAGCAAGCTATATAAGTTCCAGAAGGCTGGGCTCTGCTCAGATCTTTTCCAGCGGCTGCTGCTTACCAGAGAGGTGCCTTCGGAGACCCAGCACTTATACAACACCCACCATGTCCCAGGTAGGAGGGCCCAGCATGGGCTGTGTTAATGCCAGAGGGAGTGGAGGTGGAGTCCTGGACACTTTCAGCTCTGGCAGCTGTGTCATGAGCTGAGCCCCAAGTATGAGCTGGAGGCTCTGCAGCCCTGGGAGATGGGAGCTCAGGGAGGACCCCCCTGAGAAACCACTTTTCTATGTGGCTTTGGTGGTATTCCATGGTTTGTTGGGAAGAGTGAAGAGAAACGTGGGGGCTTAGATCTCTTCCTTTGTATGTGTGTAAGTGTGTGTGCTGCTGATGTAGCTCAGTGTGTACAGCTCTGTGCCTTTGTAGCTACAGCCCCTGCAGCTATGCACTCTGTAGCCACACGCATAGGTTTGTCTCTATATGTGTATGGTATATGCAGGAAGCTGTTTGTGTGTGCACGGGAGGCTGTAGGGACACAGCTGGGTGCATCCTGTACAGGGGTATGGTGTGTTGCTCTGAGGAGCCTGGCCCAGGCTGAGGGAGGGAATTCCTGCACCTGCACCCAGGCATAGGAAGGAAGTTCTCAGATTCATAGGCGCCTGGGGATATGGGGTAGGGTAAACACAGCCTGGGTGTCCTCCACCCTGGAGGGACAGACCAGTCTGTCAAGAGAAAGGGGTTGTTCCTATTGCCTGCTCTGTGGGCATCTAGTCCTTCTACCCCATTTTCACTCCCAAAGGCACACAGTAAATACTGGTGCTTTTCTGGGAGAGGGGCAATCCTTGAGGGACACTGCCACTCAGCAGGTTTTGGAACTAACCAAATTCCCTGTATTGCTCACCCTCAGAGCTAGTCCCCTTCGCCATTCCCCACTGTGTCCAGCCCTGAGCTTGGCCGAGCAGATAGACACACCAGTGTGAGGCTACAGCAGCCACTGCTCCCAGAAGCTCCTGGGCTATGGGGGAAGGGCACAGGGACAAGTCAGACCAAGACAGCTGGGAGACTCATGGCAGGTGGAATATAGTTGGGAAGGCTTTCTCTGGAAGAGGAGTGGAGCCTTGAATAGGCTTGGGTTTAGTGAGCAGAGAAGAGGGGTCTTGGCCAAGGCGCAGAAGTAGGGGTCCCCACCTTGAGGCCTCAGCTAGTAAGATGAGGCTCTTGGATCTCCAAGGCTGGTGCTCAGGAAGCCCCCATCAAGAAGAAGCGCCCCTCTGTGAAGGAGGAGGACCTGAAGGGGGCCCGAGGAAACCTGACCAAGAACCAGGAAATCAAGTCCAAGACCTACCAGGTCATGCGGGAGTGTGGTGAGTGTCCCCAAACTGGCTGGGGCTGGGCTGGGGGTACAGGTATGTGTCAGCTGGGGGAGGCAGTCAAGGATCCTTTTCTGAGAATCCAGCATTCCTGGGCTCAGGAAAGGGTGCTCCCATCATAAGGGGCCTTCCCACCTAGGAAGCCAGGCTGGCCCCTGATTGTACCTCCTTCCCACAGAGCAAGCTGGCTCGGCCGCCCCATCGGTGTTCAGCCGCACCCGCACAGGCACCGAGACTGTCTTTGAGAAGCCCAAAACCGGACCCGCCAAGAGTGTCTTCGGCTGAGAAGTGCATGCCACTCCCCTTGCTGCCCAAATGCTCAGAAACAGCAGCCTTTCCCAGGAACTCTTTTTTATGCCAGAACACCTCCTGTCCCCTGCCGTCTCTGGGGCTGCCACCCTCCCCCACAGTCCCGGCCCTTCAGCCAAGGGCTCTGCACCGGCACCTTGAAGCCCCAATAAAGAGGATGCACAAGTGGCCCCAGCAGTTGGAAGGTGTTGGTTGATCCCTGGCTGTGGCCACTATTGAGGGGGAGGACAGGGTGGGATCATGGAACATGTTCGTTTGGAAGGCTCCCAGGGGATAGCACAGGTGCTGTCATGGCCACTGCACATGCTGCCTTGGACATGGAGACCCGGTGCTGACCTGTGACTTCAGACCAGATTCTTCTGAGCCTCAATTTCCCCTTTCATACGACAGGGGAGTTGAGCTGGAGCCTATTCCATAAAGCAGGCCATGGTGACACTGCTCAGAGTGAAGTGGGTGGGGCTCAGGGACCACCTCTCCCTCTGACTTCCACAGAAGCTGCTGAGATGCCGCCAAGCACCCTCAGGCTCTGCGGTTCCTAGGGACCTCAAAACCCCTCTCCTTGCACTTTTGTTCACACTGCCTCCTTGCCAGCTTTTGTCCCCTCCAGGACAAAGCCAGATCGAGATTCCTCTCTGGCAGTCAGTTTCCTGAGCCATTGTCTCTTCTAAACAGCAGGGTAAGCCTCCCATGTTCTGCGCCAACCAGGCTACCTGCGGCATGGGAACACCAGATTCTCAGCCTGCAGGACCCTTCCCTCTCCAGTCCTCTGTCCCCCGTGTGCCTGGAACCGCCAGATTCAAAAGACACATAGAGGCCTGTCCCATTGTGATGGCAAGACCATGGACTGACAGTGGCTCCTTTTGGAGATAGACTGGCAGAGCCTGGGCTTGTGGTGTCTGGCTCGGGTCTGCAGCCTGCTGGGGATGCCCTCCTGTCCCAACACCAGGGGAGCCAGCTGCCCAGAGCCTTTCCTGCAGTCCTGGCCAGCCTGGCCTCCTTATTTAGCCCTGGGTCTAGGCTAGCCCCATCCTCTGTGCCCCAAGAGAGCAGACCTGCTGTGAGGAAGGGCCTGGTCCTACTTGCTGGACCCCATGGGGAGGCTCTTCCCCCCAGACACTGACAGGGGTGCGTTCCCCTGTCCCAATCATATCCAGAGCTGAAAGGGTGAGCAGTGGAGACGTGCGCAGAGAGGCTTCTGGCCAGTCATGCTAAGGAAGGGGGGCGTCTTCTTTACAGCTATAGAAATAGCTCCAGTCTGTGACACCCTTGCTCCAGGCCTGCTGCTGCCTCTAATGGAAACAGGGCTGGTGGAGAAAACCCTCTCCAGCCTCTGGCTGCCCCAAGGTCCCCCATAGGCCCCTAAGGCAGCTGGCCCCCTCAGGGCTGGTGTCACAGAGCTGTCCTCCTTCCCTTATCCAGGACTTGGCACCTGGCCACATTTGTGACTCATGTTTACCCATCTGGGGCCACAGACTCCGCAGAGCCACCAGGGAACATGAGCCCCAGCAGCACCCAGAGCGCGTAATATGTACTCACTGGATCGCACTTCACAACGAGCAGAGTGCTTCAACTTTAATAAGCCCAGGACCCAACCCAGGCCCTTGCGCAGCACTCCCCTGGGTCTGGCTGCAGCACTGTCTCATGAAAACAGCATTCCCCCCTCTCTCAACCGGCGATTCCTGGGCTCTCTCCGCTCCACCAGCCACCACCCCAGTCACCCCTCAGGAGCTGCTGGCACTGTCAGCTCTGTCCTCTGTTCCATGCTCTCCTGTCAATAAACTTCCCGTGTGGAGACCTCTGTGCCACAGGATGTGGCAGCTTTATGACTCTTGTATTGCCTAATTGCCATTGTTTTGGGGGCCTTGCTTGGGTTGAGCCTAAAGCCCTGGCTAGGTTCATGGCACTCAACAGCAGCCTGGGACCCCAGGAGAGAGAAGGAGGTGCCCTGTGCCCAGCACCTCTCACTTCAGAAATAAGCTGTATCTATCCTGACTCTAGATCTTTCCCCACGCAGACACCTCCCAGAGTTACCCAATGCCTTTGGGCCCTTCCATCAGCCAGTCACATTCACCTGGTGGCCAAGGCCCCCTTCCTCCAGAACGCTGCTATGGTAGCCCTGTAGCCCTAATCTTCCCTGCCCTCCCCCTGTTCCCCCCCCCCCACCTCCAGGCTGGACTTAAGGAGAGCAGACTGGCATCTTCACTGTCGATTCCCGCTCCCCACCATCCTATGGAGCTTGTTGGAATGCCTGGTGTGAAGGGTCCTGGTGCCTGGAAGAGTTTTGTACCTTGCAGAAGAGGCATAGTACCCCCACTCCAACCTGAGCCTACCTTTTTTTGGTGTACATTCCTGCCCCCAGCCAAGGTCCACAGGACATTCGTCATTTGCTTATCTGAGGACACTGTGGTTTTTTTGGCTTGTAGATCCCAATTTCCCAGAACCTGCCACCACGTGGGTGAGGTTGCAAACAAGTTACTAATCTATTCCCCACTTGCTCTCAAGTTCAGAAGCCGCCTGGCAGTCACTGGAGCCACGATGAAGCCCCCAGGGCCTGTCTATACCTGCAGCAAAGTGCTGGTCCTGCTTTCACTGCTGGCCATCCACCAGACCACCACCGCCCAACAGGTAGCCAGTGTCCACGGGTGTGACATGAGCTGGGGGATGAGAGCGTGCCTGGGAAGTGGGGGAGAGCCTTCGCATGTGCAAGTGTGTCAGCACAAGTGCATGTGCATCAGTGTGTTTGCAAGAAAATGGTGCAGAGCACCCACCAGGCACTACCCCAGGGGTCTTATGGGTATTCTCCTACCTAATAGAGGGCATGATCCAATCATTTCCGTTTTGCAAATGAGGAAATACAGTTTTACAAGCCTGGCTCTACCACTTTCTAGTATGTAACCTCCAGGGAATGATTTATGCTATGTCTATTTCCTCATCTGTAAAATAGGGTAATAGTAGAAACTAGAGGGTGGCAGTTGTAAAAACCAAACCCGTTGTATCTGTAAAGTGCTTAGGACAGTGCCTGTCCCAGAGCAAATACCCAAGCACATAAGCCACTTGGCACCTCTGTACCAAACTGTGTTCAGGCAGCTGCATGCAGCCAACCAGTCGGTACCCACGAGCGAAGCACACACAAGCAGGTTAAGAGGTGCCTGTATGTCCTTCCTTGGAGGACACAGGCCTTGAGCAAGTGGCACATGCCAGGGGAATGCCCTGCAGAAGGGGGCTGAGTTGGGGAGGCTCTACTGCGGGGCGAGGAGGAAGATTCCCAACTCTTACAGACTCAACTCTTGTCTACCTCTGAATTCTCCCAGCTCCCAGGGCTTCCTAGTAGGAGACTAGTGGGAGCTTCCCTATTGCCAAGAGGCCAGAGTCTTCAGAAATCAAAGGACCTGGTCACTGCCCTTTCTCTGGGCAAAGCTAAGCCAGCGTGCAAAGCCTCCTGACCCCGCCAGGGCCCTCACCCCTGCCCAAAGGCTAAGTGTGATGTCCCTCCTAGACTTGGGCTCTGGCTTCACCAGCCCCAACCCTTTGTGCTTATTCTTCTCCAAGGAGTGCTCTGGGCCCCCATAGATCATGAAGGACGTGGCCCCTGCCCTGTGGTGCCATAGGGTACGGAATGAAGCACACTGCTACCTCTTATCTGAGACAAATGTTCACATATGAGATGCTCACTGGATACAGCCTGAGTCCTGGTCAGTGGCTCAGATGGGTTGGGAGCCAGGGTTTGGTCTGAAGCCAGAGTTGGGGCCAACTCTTGAAGAGTGTCACCCCTAGCTGAGGTGGCATTGAAACCCTGCAACCCCCTTCTCCTTTGCCGGTCCAGAATGATATTGACATCTACAGCCTCACTGTGGACTCCAGAGTCTCTTCCCGGTTTGCCCACACAGTCGTCACCAGCCGAGTGGTCAACAGGGCCGATACTGTGCAGGAGGCTACCTTCCAGATGGAGCTGCCCAAGAAAGCCTTCATCACCAACTTCTCCATGTAGGTGCCTTTCCCCTCCTCCCCTACACGCCCCCCGGTGCTATCACTCCATCAGCTCTGTGCCAGCAGGCCCTCTTCCTGAAGGGAGGCAGGCCAGGGCGCACATCTTCCTGTACCTGGGAGACACACAGGGAACGTGGGCTTGCCAAGGGGCTTATTCTTTGAGATGCCCCCATCCTTCCATCCCGCCACTCATCATCCCTAAGTGCTGCCCAGGTGGCAGGCAGAGAACCACAGTGTCATTGTGACTTTGCCTTTGAGGAGCAGACTTGAGGCCTCCTGAAGCCAGGCCAGGCAAGTGGGAGTCACCAAAATGCAGATTCCGGCTCAAAGTACAGAAAACCTCCCAGCCCCATGGCTTCCCCACAGCAGAGAGTGGCTTGAGGAGGATTTTCCTAGTTATGCCCCAAGCTGAGATCCTGCAGAGGGCGTTTTTGGTCAGGCTGCATGAGGAACACCTGGGGTTTCTCTGAACGCTGTGAGCCTGTGATGGTCCTCACTTTGCCCTCTGCTGCCCTCCCCTCCCCTTCCCAATTCTGTTTTGCAATATTTGCTAAATGCACCAGGATGCTGGCTATCCCTTGGCACCAGGAGAAGCTGTGATCTAGGACAGGGGTAAGACTCTTCCCAGAAACAGAGAGGGCAGTGGTGGGGCAGAGAAGGAGCATCACGCATGCACGGTCCCACACTGGGGCCTCTGGAAAACTGTAGTGGGAGCTGGTCTTCTCCCTTGGGCCCTACACATCCCCCTACTCCACAGCAGCCCCTACTTTTCCTAACCCAGAGCCCAGGCCTATGCTGCCCAGCTTGCAGCACAAGCCCCACAGGCTCTGCCAGCCTTCAACATGGGTACCAGGGCCAGCAGTTGCCAGGTCTAGGCCCGTGGCATCTGCTGAGAGCCCAAGACTGTCACTTGCTTTCTCTGGACCCAGATCCTGTTGCTGCATGAGTCATGGGAGCAAAGAGCAGAGTTTCCTGCTCCCTGACCTGGCCAGGAGCCCCAGCTGGGCATCTGGAGAGATCAAGCACTGCCCACCCAGGAGGAGGAGCCCCACTGCCCACTCACCAGCCCCACCTGGGGCTAGAGTTAAATTATAACCAGGAAGGTCAGGCAGTCCTGACATCCTGGCTGTTCCCCCTCCTGCCCACTGCCACACACTCTCGCACTTTCATACCACCCCCAGATGGAGCAG